ACCCCCGTCATAGTAAGGCGACGCTCCAGAGAACGGACAACACCTTCACCAACACAAGGGTGGCACGCGACTTCGAAGATCTCCATCAAAAGGAATTAGTCTATGAAGAAATGGGCATTTTTTGGACGTCGCCCGAACGAACTAGGCTCCGGGTGCTATCCAGGACGGTCCGAGTGCAAGAGAGCCTTTGCTCAGGGATTGCTATCAAGAAATCACAAGCATCCCCCCGTCCACAGGTCCCCGAGCAAATTTTTCTCGAAGGTTATTATGAGGCCCAACTGGTAAGTCACGACCTAGAGGCCCAAAAACATTATTCTCATTTTCACGCGAAGTCAAGGTCCCGACGGCCCGAGGTTATTGGCCTTATTCAGGTTCAGTCCAATGAACCACAAAGGACCCCGCGCGAAGCAGCTTCCATCAACCAAAGGCCGGAAGGAATACTCACATCCGGGTTCAGTGTTAGCAACGACAAACAGGATCGCGCATTCGGAGCCACCGCAAACATAAAGAAATACAGCAAGTATCAAAGGCAGGATTCAAGAAAATATCTTTGTATTCATAAATGTTCGCTTACAACGGCCCTCGGGGGGCCCTCACATGTTATTACAAAAGCCCACAAGGGGATCCTTATGCAGGAACAAAGAAGTTAAAGGGTATGCATACAACAAAAGTCTAAGAATCTAGCCTATTCCCAAAGAGCATCCCCAATAGCGGCATCTTCGGCATCATCTCCTCAGGCGTGCGACCTCAAAGACAATATCTTCCAAGTCCAATCCCTTCGGGGACCTCATCTCGACCCTCCCGAAATGGCATCTTCAAAAGGAAGGATGGAGAAGAGTAAAGTGGCGAAGGAGAAGCCGAAAGGAGAAAAGAAGTGGCTGGGTAAAAAATCTGGCTAGTACGAACTCCGCCAGTAGTACTATTATAAAGCCACTTATTGATACGTTGCCTCGGCCCGGGAGGCGACAGCCAGTAGAGAGTGCCGCCATACCCCCAGGAATCCAAAGGGGGTGTAATACGCCAAGCCAAGGAAGGAGGATAAGAAGCGGTGTATAGTCTGAGCCCCCTCTTGAGCAGCGGTGCATAATCCAAGTACCTCCCCGGGTCGGAGAAAATCGGTCCTCTATTTCGTCGCCCCGAGCTAACGGAGACAACAACAACAACAACAATAGCATCACAACAACATAACTTTGTCCGACCGGAGAAGGTCCGGGAGTTGGGCCATAGCGCGCATGGTGTCGGCATGAGATCTTGAGGCTATGGGCCTCAAACATGGTGAGACGGCAAAGAACAAAAATAGCAAGAAAGGAGGAAATGATGGATATCGAAGGATGCTTTGATGAAAAACTGATCACAAGAAGCCCCATTTATAGGGGAGGAGGGCAAAGTAACCGACGACGCCATTATCGTCCTCGAAAAGCGTAACAGCAGGCGCATTCAATGTGTTCATGGAAGCTGAATCGACAGCAATATTATGACCCCGAAGAACGAGGAATCATGACACGTCGAATGACCCTGAAGAAGTGAAAGGGTGAAACGCCTCGACACTTGTAAAAGGGGTTGCGCCATCATCACGACGTCATCATGGTAACCCATAAAGTGGGATGTCAAAATCATTTGTTATCGTTTCTCTCTAAGAAACACGGAGACTATCTGTGTACAGTGAAATCGGAGGACCAGTTTCTCATTGACAAATTTCTTCGGAAGGTTGCCTCGGAGGCTCGGGACCTCGAGTTAGTTACTTCCCTCAAGATTTGTCGATATCCAGATGAGGATAACATCGGTCGAAACCCCGATGAGCACGGGAGGCCTCCGAAGAGTGCATCTGGAGTCGATTAAGTCTACCTGGGCAGCCTATCATTGGCCTACGTATGTGTCATGAAGCTAGCTAGTTGTCTCATCCCGCTTCCTTTACCACCCAACGTATTTTGTACTAAGTTTGGACTCCTCCCTCTCTTATAAAAGGGGAGTCGTTAACACTCTGTAAGGAAGAGCTCCAACTATTCCATACAAGATCAATAATATCTCTCTCTCTCTCTCTTCTCTCTAACTCATCTGCTCGAGGCTACTCTTTTCATGTATTACTTTCATACTTGTTCTTCATTTATCGCTTGATGTTGGTCGTAAAGAGCCTTCTTTAATTATATCTTAACTGTTATCCCATTCCCGACTACCCCCGATAGCTCGAGCTCGAGCCGGATATCGACCCCGAGGCCCTTCATCGACCAGTCCGGAGCCCGGATAGTAAGCGCCTCGATTTGATAGTTGTCTCGTTTTAACTTGTATTTAAACGTTAAACTTCATACTCCTAGAATCAAATGCTCTAACAACTAGCATAAAAATATATCACGTATTTTTAGAGTCCCATTTACAAATTTTAATTGTTGTTACCATTTTCACGGTAAAAAATGGTAACACCAAATAAACCCCTTATCAAGGAGTTCCTAAAGCTGCCCCTTCAACTCCGCCAGTGCCATACAATATGGTGGAATAGAAAATGGGCTGAGTTCCCGGTACCAAATCAATACCGAAGGAAATATCCCTGTCCAGTGGCATGCCTGGCAGGTCTGCAGGAGACACATCTGGAATGTCCCTCACTGCCGGAATTGAATCAATGGTAGGAGTCTCTGCACTAACATCCCTCACGAAGGCCAAATAAGAAAGACAACCACCCTTCCCAACCATCCGATGGGCCTTCAAAAACGAAATCACTCTACTGGGAACATATTTTGTCAAACCTCGCCACTCAATCCGTGGCACACTCGACACAGCCAACGTCACTGTCTTAGCATGACAGTCCAAAATAGCACGACACGGAGATAACCAATCCATTCCCAATAACACATCAAAATCCACCATACAAAGCAACAAAAGGTCCACTTAGGTCTCCAAACCCCCAATAGTCACCACACATGACCGATATACGCGGTCCACAACAATAGTATCGCCCACCGGAGTAAATACATGAACAGATGAAATAAGAGACTCATGGTGGGTATCCAAATAACTAGCAAAATATGATGACACATATGAAAAAGTGGAATCAGGATCAAATAACAGAGGCATCCCGGTGGCAAACTAAGACAATACCTGTAATCACGGCATCTGAAGCAATAGCATCTGGTATGGCTGGGAGTGCATAGAAACGGGCCTGACCACCACCTGATCGACCTCCCCCTCTGGGGCGACCCCTAGCTGATTGACACTCGCCCCTAGCTGCCTAATCGGGTGGTGAAGTAACTGGAGCTGAAGTCGAGGGCTGACTCCTCTGCTGAGATGGATTCCCAAGAAGATGAGGACACTATCTCCTCATATGCCCAAACTCACCACACTCATAACAAATCATTGGTACGGGGGACAGGGACTGAAGGGAACCCCTAGCACCGGGATGACTAGTAGAAGAACCTGGTATGGAAGAGCCCTGAACTGATGGAGCACGGGATGAACGCTAGGATGGAAGCACACTGAGTGATGAATGGCCCTGATGAGAACTGTGAGAACTATGGGCCGATGATGCCCCATGATGAACCGGGCGAGCTGACTGAGCATGTCTGAATGGACGGCCTCTACCATGCTGAAACTGGCCTCTCGAAGGAGTACCACCAAAACTACCAAATCCCTAAGACCTCTTAGCCTCCCTCTCATCTCGCTCCTGGCGACAAACTGACTCAATATCTTGGGCAATATCAACAACCTGCTCGAAAGTAGCACTTGACACCCTCTCTCTGGTCATGAGAATCCGAAGTTGATATGTGAGGCCATCCACGAACCTTCTGATCCTCTCTCTATCCGTAGGAACCAATCAAACAGCATGATGAGCTAGCTTTGAAAATCTTATCTCATACTACGTCATACTCATATCATCCTGACGCAACTGCTCGAACTGCCTGTGTAGCTCCTCCCTGCAAGACTGTGGCACATACTTCTCCAAAAAGAGAGCGGAGAATTGTTGCTTGGTAAGGGGCGCTGCACCAACAGTTCTGCGCCTCTCATAAGCCTCCCACCAAGTAAAGGCAGCTCCTGAAAACTGGAAAGTAGTGAATGAGACCCCACTGGTCTCCAAAAATACCTGTGGTCTGAAGCATCCTCTGACACTTGTCTAAGAAACCCTGGGCATCCTCGCCCTCTGCACCACTAAAAATCGAAGGCTGAAGTCTACCAAACCTCTCCAATCGACATTGTTCGTCATCAGGCATAACTAGTACCACATAATCCTAAGCAGGTGCAACCGGCTGGGTGGGAGGTGCCCCCGGTATCTGAAGTCCCTGCACAACCAGCTTAGGTGTGCGAGTGGCGAGAGTCTGGGTGCCTCCCCTGGCTTGAGAAGTAGTTGCGGCCGTAATAACTGAGACCGCCTGAGCCAGGCCAGTGCACACTGATAGAATATGGGCTAGGGCCTCCTCAAGGCCTGGAATAACAATCGGCACAGCCGGTGCCTGAGTTGGTCCTATTGGAGCGTCCACAACTAGGATCTGCAGGTGTTGCCCTAGCTGTTGTGCGGGCTATACCCCTGCCCTTACCACGGCCTCGACCGCGACCTCGACCTCTAGTGGCCCCAACTGGTGGTACTGGTGGTCGTCCATCCTGACCAGTAACACGTGTCCTTACCATCTGTGAGAGAATAGAATATCAGAAATTTAGTTACCAGAATCAATAGATTCGCACAACAGGAATTCAAGAATGTGAAGTTTTTCCTAAAGGTTCTGCAGCCTCTTGAAGAAAAGTACAGACGTCTCCGTAACGATCCGCAAGACTCTACTAAATCGGCTCATGGTTGGTGAGACATATGTAACCTAGGCTCTGATACCAACTTGTCACAACCCTAAACCACCTCGGCCGTGATGGCACCTATCGCAGTACTAGGCAAGCCGAATCGATAATTATAACATAAACAGGTCATTTTCTTAATTCCTTTACTAATCAGATATTATCATAAATCTTTCTATTAAATATTTCAAAATAAGCGGAAACAAATATGTAAAACATCAACCACTGCCCGAACCCGGTGTCACTAGTCATGAGCCACTAAAAATACAATCTGATATTGTCTGATCAATATAGGATGAGTTTGATAATAACATATACTAGTAGATAGGAAGGAGAAAGACAAGGTTGTGGACGCTGTGCAGCTACCTTGCTAACTCCGGAAATACTCTGAAGGTAGAAACAGCTCTCACTTGGATGCTCTGGCACCTGGATCTGCACACAAGATGCAGGGAGTAACGTGAGTATGCCAACTCAGTAAGTAACAATTATAAATAAAGCCTGAGTGCAGTGACGAGCATTTAAAATCATATACAATTCATAACATAGAATCTCAAAAGAAATAACAAATTCGAATCACTAATTCGATTTTCGAACATCTCGTAAAAACTCCCGTTTCAGTGAGAAATCATTTCAACATTTGTTCAACATTTTTCAATAGAGGCTTAGTATAAAAGAAGAGTGAAATAGTAATTTCATAAAACAAGCCTCTTGGGCGAAGTATCACTCATATATATATAGCCCTTGGGCAAGCGTCTCAGTCACTCGTAACTCAACTCTTATCAATCAACGCTCACACTCAGCACTCCCGCTCAATAGATATCTCATAAGAATAACCGTTGCACGTGCAGCCCAATCCATAAGTATACATAGTCGACTGCGCTCACTAGGGGTGTGCAAACTCCGGAGGGGCTCCTACAACCCAAGCGCTATATCGCTGCGGCGTGTAGCCCGATCCATAAATATATAATCCTCACCATCAGGCCCTCGACCTCTTTCAGTCATCAACCTCACAGCCACTCGGGCATTTCAATGAAAAATCAGGGAACTCAGCCCAAACAATTTCATATATTTGAAAGTAGAGTAATGAAACTACATCAAACCATAAACAGGTAAAAATCATGATTGAGGATCTGCTTTCGAATCAAAACAGTGTGAGGATAGTAGTAAAATTCCCCTGAGGGTCCAAACATTATGGCACAAGGCCCCAAACATGGCATACAGCTCAAGTTAACAGATTCATTTCTAAAATACATAGATATAGAGTTTATCAAAATATGCAACTCTACAGTTGCCACGGGACAGACCAACTCACAGTCCCTGCAGGTGCACGCCAACACGCCCGTCAACTAGCATGTGTGTCACCTTATTTATCAAATAGTACGAAATTCCGGGGTTTCATACCCTCAGGTCCAGATTTACAATCGTTACTTACCTCCAACCGGGCGAAAATCTACTCCGCGATGCCCTTGCCTCTCGATCCGACCTCCAAATGCTCCGAATCTAACCAAAATTAGTATATTATCATCAATACACGGTAAAGGAACAAAACCCGTGCGAAAATTATCAAATTAACTCAAAAATCCTGAAATTAGTCAAACCCGACCCCCGATCCCACGTCTCGGAATTCGATAAAAATCATTAAACTAGATACTCCTTTCACTCCCGAGTCTATACATACCAAAAATATCGAAATCGAACCTCAAATGGTCCCTCAAATTCCCAATTTAAACTTTCCAATTTCAAGCCCTAATTTTCCTATTTTTCACCCCTAATCTTTGCAATTTCCACGTTTAATCAACTGAAATTCACCATAGATACGAGTATTAAGTTCAAAAATCTTACCTCAACAAGTTTCTCCTTGAATTCCTCTTCAAAACCCTCCAAAATCTTCAATCCCGACTCTAAAATGGTGGAAATTGACAAAAATTTGCGAATAGTTTAATTTATACCTTCTGCCTAGGCATTTCCGCACCTTCGGCCCATATCATGCATCTGTGGATCGCATCTGCGGTCAAAATAACTGCATCTACGGTTTTTTCACTTAACTCCTCAGGGCCGCATCTGCGCCCAGGCACTGCACCTGCGATCCCACATATGCGCCCAACACACCGCACCTGCGGTCTTCACCTGATGGCCAAATTTCGCACCTGCGGTCTCCCTCATGAACCTGCGATCTCGCACCTACGGTCCCTAATCTGCAGGTGCGGTTATGACAGAAGCAGCAGCTTCAGCTGCTCAAATCAAGTCCAATCTTTTCGTTAACCATCCGAATTCATCCCGAGTCCCCCGGGACTTAAACATGCCAACAAGTCACACATCGCCATTCAAACTTATTCAAGCCTTTGGAACACTCAAAACAACATCAAAACATCAAATCACCCTCGTATTCAAGCATAAGGATTTCCAAACTTCCGAATTTCGCAACCAATCCAAAAACCTATCAAACCTCATCCGAATGACCTGAATATTTGCACACACGTCACAAATGACACAACGGACCTACTCCAATTTTTGGAATTCCATTTCGACCCCGATTTCAAGATTTCCATTGCCGACCGAAAAACACCAAATTTCTAATTTCGTCAATTCAAGCCTAAATCTACTACGGACCTCCAAATTACATTCTGAATACACTCCTAAGTCCAAAATCACCTAACGAAGCTATTAGAACCATCAGAATTCACATCCGAGGACTTCTACATATAAGTCAACATCTGGTTGAGTTTTCTAACTTAAGCTTCCAAATAAGAGACTAAGGCCTCATTTGTTTGCAATTAATGGAGGTCTGAATCTTAATCATTCAGATCTCAGACATTAAGTGCGTTTGTTTTTAAAGTCTGAATCTTAATTATTCAAATCTTAATCATTAAGTGTGTTTGTTTTTTTACTTCACAACCACTTAATGGGTCTAATAGGTCTGTATGATTAAGATCTATAACAGAGACTTAATTTTATTAAGATGCTATCACATATTCATTATTAACTACCGGCACCGCCTACCATTATCAACTACCACCATGCCGCCACCGCCACCACCGCCACCACCATACTCAACCACCACCACGCCACCATCATCCTCAATCATAGCTGCCACTATTATCGACCATCACCATCCACTATCCCTACCACTCCGACCACCATCATTCTCACCCACAATCAACACTCATCCACCTCAACTACCAACTGACCACCCCATCATCATCAACAACCACAGCCGGCACTGTCCATCATTATAATCTACCACCACCCACCCACCACCTTCCTCAGTCACAACTCACCACCCACCACCACCATCCTCAATCATAATCTCCACCACTACCGATCACTACTAGCTACATGAACCACTATCATCAACCAAAACTACCACCCACCACCGCCTCTAGTCGGCATTCACCCGTTAGCCATCACCACCAACAACTATCATATTTTAAAAAACTATATATATTATTGATAGAATATTAGATTAGTTAGTATTTCATTTGAATTTAATGTTTATTAATTCTCAAATAAAGATAAATTTTATACATTCAGATGTTAAAAATCAAACAGTGTTAACTATTTAGTATTCAGATCTTAATACACATCTTAATATATTTAGATGTCTATTCAGATTCAGATGTCTTAATCTTAATACACATCTTGATATTCAGATGTGTATTAAGACTCAGACGTCTTAATCTTAAAAAAATGACGCCTAAGTGTCTCATTCCACTCTAAGACCACTCCGAACACAACCCAACCAACACGATACGATCAAATACAGCTGAACAACACAAAAAGAAGCAGAAATAGGGAGAACGTGACTGTAATTCATGAAATGACTGGCTGGATCGTTACAATCACCCACCGGAGAGAAGTCCAGAGTTCTTGGAAGAATTAATATAAGAAGCCATAATAAGGAGGAGATAATAGAGTTTTTTGAAGAAGAATAAGGAGAGATGAAAGCATAAGGAAGTTAAATGCAAAGAAGTTGAGAGAGTTTATGAAACTATTAGAAGTGAAAGAAGAAGATGAGGGATATAAGTAAAAGTATAGGCGGCTAAAATCGTGGCCATGATTACCTTGAGAACCGGCGAAAATATTGCTAAATCGTGGAGTAACACGTATTCGGGGTATTAAATGCGAGGATACGTGCGTTTTATCAAGCGTTAGAAACTTTTCAGAAGTGTTTAAAACAAATTTCACCAAGAAAGGAATCTTCACCTACTTTCTGGTGACACAAAGATGTGCCACCGAAAAGCAGGAGAACTATCAATATAGGTTAAAAAACGATTTATATTAAATGCTCTTGAGAGCGTGACACGTGGAACCGGAGGCAGACGAAAGATAGAGTGAGTGTAAAACCAAGATCGAGGACAACAACTTCAGTTGGTACTGGGTAGATCCCGAAGGGAACATAGTAAACGGAAGCATATGAACATTTGTCACCAGATGACATTTAATAAAGAATATTCCTCAGTATTAAATACACATCCGTTGCAGAGAATTTTGGCATTTATGGTCTGCCGTTACATATTCATCAATGACCCTATTACTGTCATTTAAGAGGGGCTTGATGTTAAGACCTTGTTCCCTAGGTATAGCTATAAATAGTCACTTCAACAACCATTGTAACACACGAAATCTCTGGCAAACTTATGCTACACATTATTCTCAAGCTAAATAATACTTTATTTTCTGTTTAACATTGTTCTTATTTTCACTTAACTCCTCAGGGCCGCATCTGCGCCCAGGCACTGCACATGCGGTCCCGCAATTGCGCCCAACACACTACACCTGCGGTCTTCACCTGATGGCCAGATTTTGCATCTGCAGTCTCCCTCACGAACCTGCGATCCCAAATCCGCAGGTGTGGTTATGACAGAAGCGGCAGCTTCAGCTGCTCAAATCAAGTCCAATCTTTTCGTTAACCATACGAATTCATCCCGAGTCCCCCGGGACTTAAACATACCAACAAGTCACACATCACCATTCAAACTTATTCAAGCCTTTGGAACACTCAAAACAACATCAAAACATCAAATCACCCTCGTATTCAAGCATAAGGATTTCCAAACTTCCGACTTTTGCAACCAATCCAAAAACCTATCAAACCTCGACTGAATGACTTGAATATTTGCACACACGTCACAAATGATACAACGGACCTACTCCAATTTCCGAAATTCCATTCCGACCCCGATTTCAAGATTTCCACTGCCGACCGAAAAACACCAAATTTCTAATTTCGCCAATTCAAGCCTAAATCTACCACAGATCTCCAAATTACATTCTGAACACACTCCTAAGTCCAAAATCACCTAACGAAGCTATCCGAACCATCAGAATTCACATCCGAGAACTTCTACACATAAGTCAACATCCGGTTGACTTTTCCAACTTAAGCTTCCAAATAAGAGACTAAGTGTCTCATTCCACTCTAAGACCACTCCGAACACAACCCAACCAACACGATACGATCAAATACAGCTGAACAACACATAAAGAAGCAGAAATGGGGAGAACGGGACTGTAATTCATGAAACAACCGGCCAGATCGTTACAATCACCCACCGAAGAGAAGTCCAGAGTTCATGGAAGAATTAATATAAGAAGCCATAATGAGGAGGAGATGATAGAGTTTTTTGAAGAAGAACAAGGAGAGATGAAAGCACAAGGGAGTTAAATGCAAAGAAGTTGAGAGAGTTTATGAAACTATTAGAAGTGAAATAAGAAGATGAGGGATAAAAGTACAAGTATAGGCGGCTAAAATCGTAGCCATGATTACCTTGAGAACTGGCGAAAATATTGCTAAATCGTGGAGTAAAACGTATTTGGGGTATTAAATGCGAGGATACGTGCATCTTATTAAGCGTCAGAAATTTTTCAGAAGTGTTTAGAAAAAATTTCACCAAGAAAGGAATCTTCACTAACTTCCCGGTGACACAAAGATGTGCCACCGAAAGCAGGAGGACTATCAATATAGGGTAAAAATCAATTTATATTAAATGCTCTTGAGAGCGTGACACGTGGAACCGGAGGCAGACAAAAGATGGAGCGAGTGTAAAACCAAGATCGAGGACAATAGCTTCAGTTGGTACTGGGTAGATCCCGAAGGGAACATAGTAAACGGAAGCAAATGAACATTTGTCACCAGATGACATTTAATAAAGAATATTCCTCAGTATTAAATACACAGCCATTGCAGAGAATTTTGGCATTTATGGTCTGCCGTTACATATTCACAATGACCCCATTACTGTTATTTAAGAGGAGCTTGATACTAAGACCTTGTTCCCTAGGTATAGCTATAAACAGCGACTTCAACCACCATTGTAACACACGAAATCTCTGGCAAACTTATGCTACACATTATTCTCAAGCTAAATAATACTTTATTTTTTGTCTAACATTGTTCTTATTCCTGCCTTCGAAAGCATTGCTCCTGGAACCAAGCTATATGCTATTTATCTCGATTTCAATGTTAAGTCATGTATTCTTATTTAATTTGTTTGTCATTTTGGATCAAATCAATTCGTTTGTCTATAAATCATATAACAAATTCAACTGTACCGTTTTACGGGTTAATAATTACACTAATATTTAAAACAATAATTGCATTGTCGATATATATAACTTAAATAAAAAAGATGAAATGCATAAATGGCGCCTTTAAATTGTCCACAAATACCAAATATACCCCTAACAATCTCATTACCCAACTAGACACCTCTTCTTGGTAGAAATGGACCTCATAGATCCCTCGTGACGACATGGTAACACGCATTTATTTATACTCCAACTAGGTAATTCGTCCGCGTGCGATAATAAAGATATCGTTAAATTAACTCATTAACTTTTTATAATAGCCAATAATATAATATTTCAAACTAAAATTTTAAATACCTTTTTAGTCTTCGAATCTAATAAAAAGTGTATCATTTTTTCTCAGTTTTCTTATACAAAAACATGTAAAGAAAGAAAATGATCAAGAAAACTTGATCTCTTTACGTGCATATCTGTATTAATTTAAAATACGATTTGTACTCTGTACATTTAATATGTGTATGTAAATTAATTTTTCTCTTCAAATATTAATGCTTTCATAAAATAAGAAGAAAGAAATAAAAAAATGCAAAATCAAATTAATCGACCTTGCTCGTTCAGTTTTAAAATAAAAAGAAATATCTACCAACCTTTTACTATAAAATAATTTATTTTCATTCTCAAAGTCATTAAATTATACTAATATTTCTCAAATTTAAAAATATATTAAATTCCTTTAACACTTTCTCCTATAAATTCAACATACAATTAAAAAAGTGCGAAGAGAATCCATAGGAGTTCAGACGGATAATATTTCAAGCTGCAATCTCCTTGAAAATTATCTTTTCGTTCATTCATCTGAATAGTTTATCACAATAGACTACGAAAGAAGAAAAATAACATAACCAAGAAAAAGATACAAGACAGAAAAAGAAAATGCAAAAAAAAAAAAAAAAAAAAAAAAAAAAAAAAAAAAAAAAAAAAAAAAAGACAATAAATGGGAGATAAACTTCGTTATTTAGATCAACTCTTCTCAAATTATTGGTTAGCGATAAATTTATTCAAGAGGCGGAGACCTTACATGTTCATGCAATATTTCAGACGATAAAAATAACACTATTATGTTAGAGCTCAAATAGTATGATATAAATATATAGTATAAAGTAATTAAAAAATTTATATTGAGACATTTACCGACCTAACTTCTTTTCTCCTGTTCGTAATACTTATTGTTACCGGAGAATTGCAATATATCATTAGAATACATGACATTAGAAAAGAATGCAGTAAGCCATCATTAGAATATATGCGTATACATTTGCGTTCTAACAATGCTAGCGTGTGAACTGTAATTGATGAAACTATAGAACCAAATGAGCAATGCCATTTTGAAGATTTTTCACACAGCTTAAATCCAATTAGAATTTCGCCTACAGATTGTTAAGTTTTTTAAGCGAAAAGGTGCAAATATACCCCTCAACTTTGTGATTTAGAGTAGATATACCCCCCGTTATAAGAGTGGTGGATATATAACCTTAAGTGTTAGTAGTGACAGTGGTGATCTAAAAAATAAACATGTATTATCCTAAAGATATTATTATTAGCATCAAAAGATAAAAGGCACTTGGTCCTTTTAAAAGACCAAAATTTCCGATACGATTAAAATTCGAACCACGAGAACACAAAAGAGCTTTGAGAACGTACATTTACATTTGATGGCGGGGAGGGTTCTCATATGCATTAAAAATACTCAGTGTTTGGCATTTTTCCAAGCAATTTCTTTGCCACCATTTTAATTTCCTTGAGTCGAGGGTGTATCAGAAACAACATCTTTATCTTCAAGATAGGGGTAAGGTCTGCATATACACTACTTCTCCAGACCCCATTTGTGAAATTATACTAGGTTGGTGATGGTGGTGGTGGTAGAAACAGGACAGAAAAAATGGGAGAAACAGAGAGTTCTACAATTTGAAGGGAAAATTATGCAGTGGTTGAATATTGATACATATCTCATTTTCCAGCGTCCAGACAGATCACACCATAAAAAGAAAATGTATATACTAACTTAAGCAAAAGGCGGAGAGGAACAATTAACGTTTCTTATTGAATGAACGTAATGCAAGTACTGATGAACTTACCTTGAGACATTGATAAAAGTAAAGGCATGGCTAAAATGATAGTAGATGAGTGTTAGTTTATCTATCTAACAACTTTATCAATTGTAATTCTATGATATTTATTAATTAATGTTCATTTAAAGAATCTGGAGCAGTAAAGATGCAATCTTGAAGCTAAAACTACCTTTAGTATTTCCTGCACGTGCAATTTGTTGGGCCTTTTGGACCTCTTCCTTTGCACATTCTAGAGGCATATGCATGAAAACCTAAAAAGTCATACGAAAAGAAATAGTTAAATAATCTTTTCTTTGAATCCAAATACACAAAACTTATGTCGATTTTTTTTTTTTTTTTTTGCAATAATGAACAGCAAACATCACGATCCTTTCTTTAAGGAGATGACAAACTTGCAATGGAGAAATTATCAGAAAAATCAAATACAAACAAAACTGAAGTAGAGAAACCCGTGATAAATCGAATTGAATAGCTGAAAAATTAGAGAGGAAAGAGGAAAAACCCCCCAAAAATAAGAACACATACATCTATAAACAAAAGAGCTTGAGAGGAACGAAAGCTAATACACTGGGTGAGACTCGGAGATAAGGTTTTAGTCAGGCCCTGAGGCTAGATTAGACTGCCATGGAAGGCCTGGTCTTCAGGTTAAGTGAAAGAGAAAAAAGTAAAAGAGAAAATAAAAGAACAGGTGATGAGAGAAGTTTAATTAGGGTAAAGACGTTCAGTAAGTGGGTATGGTAAAGAATCGGACAAAGCAGTACACGTGTATATGAGAACACAATACGTGTAGGAATGAGAATGAACTTACCAATATCCTATAAGAAATAATAATTTCGACAGTACAACTCCAATTCCTTCTTGTACAGCTACATAAGCACATGTTCGTCCTTTCAAACTGCCACTTCTAAATAGTAGAAAAAATTTGAGGGAATAGGAGAAGATAGAGGAGGTGAATTTATGGTAAGGATTTTGATATACAGCCTATCGTGTGATTTCGGTTACTAATTCTAAAATTAATAAGCCATTATTTCTTTTATCTAGATTAATAAGCCTTCATTAGTACATGATAGTTATAATGATTATAGTCAAATTGTAACTGATGCAAAGTTTTTATTTTCAGTTATTTTTTAAATTAATTAGCTGAAAAGTTGATTAATTGCATTTGAAGACTTTTTGAAATATTAATAATTATATAAATGAAGAAACGAAGGGAAAGGTCAAAAAAAAAAAGGAGAAAAAGGATAANTATATAAATTTGAGCGAGTCAAGCACGTAAAAGTATGCTTTTTTATTTTTCATATGTGGATTTAAGGGTGGCAAGTGGATCGATCTAGGACGGGGACCGGCCCGGGACCGCGATTCAAACGGGCCAAGACCGATATATGTGGGTCTGGTCCGGTCTCGTGAACCGGTTCAACACTTTAGGACCACTAGGACCGGGACCGGACCGGACCGGTCTCTTGACGGGCCAAACGGTCCCAACGGTAAAATTTAAAAAAATAATGGCCATTGGAAAAATTTAAAAAATAGCTGTTGGGCTGTCAAAAATAGTCGTTGGCTATTTAGAAAATAAACTCGTACTTGCTACTATTGCTTACTTTATTGTTACAATTTGTGAGAAAATTATTAAGTTGGTGAATTGAAGTCTTCAAGTTTTCAACGATAATCAATTTTCAACAAGTTGTTCGTCAATTCAATAAACTCGTTTCAACTCTTAAGTTTTAATATTATAGTTTTGTTTGTTTTATTTATTTACTATTACTTGATTAATTAAGATGGTTTCCTTAAAAAACGTTTTGGTAAAAATAAGAGAAAATTCAAGAGTGGCGAATCTAGTGGTCATGTTGTTCCTCCTCCACTACCCCCGGCCCCCCAAACCAAACCCCATATCCTTCCTACACATGTTATTCTTAATAGCAATAATAGTTTATTATAATTTATTGAGAGTCAATTTTACCATAATATTACAGCTGGTGAACAATTAGACCATGAATTAATGAATGCTCTTTATTCTAATCCAACTATTGATGAAAATGATGATGAAGAAATTGATTGTGATGAAACTGAACCGGATGATGATACACCCACTAGTTCTGCTCCTGATGTTAACCCAACTAGTGATAACCCTACTAATCCAAATGATGCCTCATATGATACTCCTGTTACTGTCCCTACTTTTTCTACACAACCTACCTAACGGACGGAAACATCTCATGTTTGGCCATTTTTTGTTCAACTAGTTCCAGAAAATAAGGCAAAGTGAAAAATATTGTGGTACGGAATTAGATTTTAAATATTTTGGATTGCGGGAGGCGGGAGGGGGGAAACTTTGGCAAGACACATAAAAAAATGCCCTCAAGATAGTGTCAGATATCTTCGTCTGAAAGCTTTGGTCGAGGAGAAAAGTGTATCTACTCCTAGTCAGGCTGACCCTAGTACCGGTTCAAATCAATTTCAATCGAAAATTAACACTGTTACCGGTGGTATTTTATATTTATGATCCAAAAAAAGATCGGGAAGAATTGACAAAAATGGTAATTGTTATGTGCTTACCCTATAGTTTTCCTTCTAGCCCTAACTTTGTGCATTATATTAGGAAAACAAATTGTTCTACTTATAAAGGTTTTCATCGCACAACTGTAAAGAGCGATAATTATAAATATAAACATGAATATGAATAATATTTGCGCTATCTATTTACTCATATAAATTTTCGTATTGCTATTACGACTGATATTCATAGAAGTGGCAACGACTGTGATTACCCTACTGTTACCAATCATTGGATTGATGGGGATTGGATAATGCAAAAGCACATTATTGCTTATAGAATAATTAATTCACGTTACACATGGCAGTTCATTGCTATCACAGTTACGGATATTTGTAGATATTTTTGCATTAGTGATAAAATAATATCAGTTTCAATGGATAATGTTACTAGTAACACAAATGCTATAGGCTTGCTTACCACTACGCTAAATCCTGCATTTACTAACATTTTTCATGTTAGATGTATTTGTCAAATTTATCATTTAATTGTGGGTGATGGAATGAGAATTTTAAATATTAAAATTGAAAAGGTTCAAATGACTCTTAACTGCTTTTTATTCAAACTTTAGAAGTAGACTTAGAGAATATTTTAAAAGATGTGATGAATGTGGCCTAAGAGAAAGAAAGGTTCCTAAACCTTGTCCAGCTAGATGCAATTACATGTATGAAAGTTTGGTTATTGCATATGAATATAAAAACCCCATAAACTCAACATTTAATGCACATGTAAGTGATGATAATGAGCACCTTACGAATGGGGATTGGGTTAATATTAAAATGCTTGTTGATTTTTTTAGAAAAATTTCATATTGCTACAAATAAATTTTCTGGGCAATATTGTCCTACTATTTCTAACTATTTAGTTTATGTTGCAGAACTTGCTAATTTGTTTCTCATTTTTCAAAGGGCGGAAAATTTATAAACTTGCCATTGATTCTATGAGAAAAAGTTTAAAAAATATTTTTTCCCTATTTCCCCTATTTATAGTGTTGCTACTTTGTTAAATTCTTGTATGAAATTAGGAGGTCCTCAATTTTGGTATGAAAATGTTTATAATGGTTTAGCACTTCAAGATGATGTAACGACCCGGCCAGTCATTTTAAGAATTTACGCCCCGATCTCCTATTAACTGCATTCCCTGTGTTTGTGTCTGCTATTGTGAGTTGTCGGGAGGATTTATTTGGAGTTTCGGAGAGTTTTGGGACACTTAGTCCCTAAAAGAGAGATTAAGCTTTAGAATTTGAACTATAATTGGAATAGTGTGAAGACGTCCTCGGAATGGAATTTCGTTGGTTCTGTTAGCTCTGTTGGGTAATTTCAGGCTTAGGGGCGTGTTCGGATTGTGTTTTGGAGGTCTATAGCTTAATTAGGCTTGAAATGCCGAAAGTTGAATTTTTGAAGTTTCCGGTTCGATAGTGAGATTTTGATCTAGGGGTCGGAATGGAATTCCAAGAGTTGGAGTAGCTCTGTAATGTTGAATGTGACGTGTGTGCAAAATTTCGGGTTATTCGGATGAGGTTTGATAGACTTTTGATCGAAAGCGGAAATTGGAAGTTTTGGAAATCCTTAAGCTTGGATGGGAGAGTGATTCGTGGTTTTAGCGTTGTTTGATGTGATTCAAAGGTTGGAATAAGTTCGTATGATGTATTAGGATTGGTTGACATATTTAGTTGAGGTCCCGGGGGCCTTGGGTGAGTTTCGAGTGCTTAACGGAAGTTTATTGGACTTAGGAAATTTGATGTTGGCTGAACCTGTCATAACCACACCTGCGTGAATGGAACCACAGAAGCGGGATTAGCCTAGGCTCCAGAAGTCGCAGGTGCGAGGAGTTGGATGCACTTGCGGGACCGCAGGTATGGTAAGTAAGTCGTAGAAGCGGAAATGGGAGTTTAATAAAATATCGCAGATGCGACTTGAGTTCCGCAGAAGCGGGACCGCAAGTGCGGTCCTAGAGCCGCAGATGCGGTTCCACTGTTCAGGAAAGGGGCAGAACGAGGGTTTAGTCTCAAAACTTAGAAAATTGATATGGGAGCTCGGGATTGACGATTTTGAGAGATATTTTCACTGGGTATTTTGGATAAGTAATTCTTACTCGATTTGGATTAATTTCCACGAAACTATGCTTAAATTCATCCTTTGAATTCGAATTTGGGGTGAAAGTTTTGGAGAAAAATTGGAAAAAAGTTTTTAGGCCTAATTTTGGAGTTTTGATCAAGATTTTGATGTCGGATTGGGGTAAATTCTGTATATATGAACTCGTGAGAGTGTGGAATTCCAAATTTGTAAATTTGACCCGATTCCGAGACGGGGACCCGGGGGCGTTTTGGTCATTTTTCCTAATTTCGCGTATTAGCTTAGAAGTAATTAGTGCAATCAGTTACTTGAAGTTATATTTACATTATGCAATTGATTTGAATAGATTTTGGCCATTTGGAGTTGAGTACTTGTGGCAAGAGCATGGTTTCAGGTTGATTTTTGAGCCGGTTCGAGGTAAGTGGCTTGCCTAACCTTGTGTGAGGGAACTCCCCTTAGTATTTGGTATTGTTGATACATGAAATGACTTGTACGTGAGGTGACAAGTGCGTACTTGTGATAATTGTTGAAAATCCTGTTTTCATTAAGTAACTATAATTGTGTTTCCTTTCATGTTTATACTACTTTCAACTTAAGCCTACTGTTAGCTTAGGGAAGCATTTCTAATTGACTTAATTGCCTTACTTGCTCAAACTATTTTAATCTAATTCTATGCAACATGCTAGGTTAGAAATACCTGTGAAATCTGGATTTAATTGAATATTATTCGTGTTGCTACGGTGTGTTTACTTTGGGGCTACGGGGCGGTATCCTGGGAGATCCCCCTGCATGTTTACTTTGGGACTACGGATTTGTATTTCGGGAGATCCTTTTGCACTTTTATATTGGAACTACGGGACTGCACCCGGTAAATTCCCCCAGTACTGGGTATTTACATTTGGGACTACGGATCGGTATTCCGGGAGATCCCCGCTCACTATGAGTTGGACTACGGGATGGAACCTAGGAGATCCACTGGATATTTATATTTGGGACTACAGGACGGTATCTTGGGAGATCCCCGGTTGTTATCTATGT